TAGCACAATGCTAAATGCTCGATTTATTTATTGTTTGATGACTCTAATTCTCGACTCAATGCGCAGAAATTAGTCCATTTAGTTACTAATATGAATATCAAGTTGCAAATTTCTTCAGAATGATGTATATAAAATTAGATGAATTTTTGCATTTTACGAATTAAGAAATTAATTAACTTCATAAGCGAATAGAATTTTTGTCTTGTAAAAAAAGTTTTTATGGAAAAGTTCTCCTTCTCAATTTATTCGTGGCTTCGACCAACTCATTGAAATTATAAAGGATGAAAATCAAATCTGATCTGACACATTTATCGTTTGCGCTTTGTCTGAAAAAATGTTTGTGGCTTCATTGGGCAACAAAATTTAGACAATTTAGAATTTGGATGAATTTCACGCGAACCGAAAACCCACAGGAAAACCTAACAGAATTTATTAAATTTATCTTGTCTCAAAAAATTATTTGTGGCGTCTTCATTGGCCAACGAAATTTAGACATTTGTCACGCCATAAATTCAGCCCTGCTAATAGAACATCGCCTTTCTTCAGAAAACATAATAATTTCAATTTTTTGTCTGCAACGACCAAAATTCCAATCTTTGTCAGTTGACTTGGTCTCGAAAAGAAGCTCTCTTTTTCACAAACTGTTCCTCTCTCTGCCATATCATGCATGATTCTCTACTTTTTATTACCACCATTGCATTGCCACCCATATAGACCCACTTGTGCATACAAAGTGTGTCGTAGTCGTACACAGCCCTTCGTCTTCATTGAATTGGCTCTTATTTTCCCTCTTTTCGCTATTTATACACGTTATTGTAATGTTCATTTGATGTTGTTGACTCGACTTGACATTAATGGCTTTGCTCTTCTGTTTGTTACTCTTTTCTTCCTGACTTTACAACCTTCTCGCGGAAATATACGGCACTGTCAACTCGTACATATTTATATTTACTGGGTAAACGAGTAGCTAAAGTAGCTGAAGAATAATACAGCTATAGAATTTTCCTGGTAAAGTTGGTGGCAGTGTTTCGGGTGCCAGTGCAAGATATGATGGGAAGAAAGTGGTTTCTTGCGGGTATTTTAGCCTGCAAGAAATGCAAGGCGCTAGAAACTACGCCCCGCCGCTATATTTCATACGGCGCGTGGCTGGATGGCGCATATTTGTTGCACTTTCTCCCAGTTTCGTGCACCCTGCATTTCTTGCGTTTCTTGCACCTCGCATTTTTTTGCGTTTCTTGCACCTTGCATTTCTTGCGTTTCTTGCACCTCGCATTTCTTGCATTTCTTGCACCTTTAATTTCTCCCAGTTTCTTGCTTTCCAGTCCAAGAAATTTAGCAAACCTGCAAGAAACGAAACCCTAGTTGGTCTGTAGAGGTGGCTTTTGGTTTTCATCAAGTCCCCCAAAAGTGAGATAAGTTGCTTCTTCTCCTCCTCCTCCTTAGCTATTCATCTTCATCACAATTTCTGTCTCGGTTAGAGAAATAAGGAGATTTCAGCAGCAGATAATTTCGAGTTGACATGCCATCTAATCTTTATGTGATTGGATATTTGATTGTTTGTAGATTACTCCCATGTATCTATCTTGAGACTTTCGACAAGATGACGATATTGGATTTGTGAAGGGAGCAAGCAAAGCTAATTAAAATTATGAACTGGAGGGATTCTTTACTTGGCAAATATTGCTTTTGCAACATGAAATCTAATCAAGCTTGTCGTCCTCCCTCTGGTTTAGTTGATCTTGCTGTTGTGGTTCATAATCTTGCAAGAAGAGATTGAATCTTATGTTGACAAAGTCCTCGCCTCATTTTCTACAATCAATTTCTGCGCTCCATGTCATCGCCAAGATGTAAAAGGGAGCAAAATTCTCGGAACGGGAACGACGACAAAGACATACTTTCAACTACTTTGCGTGGCTGAATGTTTCCGAGAATTTGCTCAATGATGCTGGATAATGGGAATATAATCATGATAATATTGGACAACAGAAGTCCTACTAGTGCAGAGTCCTTGTTAGCTCAAAGTTTTCCTCTACAAACTACCCGGAATTTCTGAGTGGGACACATCATTGGGAAAATTTCCATACAACAGTTGCCAGAAATTTGACATTTCTCTCTCTCTCAACTTTTTAGTCGGGTAATGTAATGTCGCTATAAAGAAGGAATTTACGAGGAGTTGTTGTCATCATGAGAAATAATCATGGAGAAATCGGCACTTGTTTGCCTCGTGGAGAGAAGAGGTCGTTTGTTCCCTTGTATGTTGTTTGGTTGTCATTTACTGTGTTAATTCTTCCTTAAAGGCATCCTCCCGTTTTTTTTCGGGCAGGATTTTTTCACAATGAGGTTTCTTCTTCTGAGAGAAAATGAGATTTTTGAGGGAAAAGAGAGACTGTCAGATTTTGCCTGCCAACCATTCTCCGTCATCCATCCAGCCACTTTCCCACACAACAAAGCAGCTGCATCTCAACTAGTGGGAAAGGAAAGTATGGGACATAAAAGGGTTAGACGGGTCAAAGAATTACTGCCACAGTTCTGGATTGCGTATTAAACTCAAACTAAGATGCTGGTTGAGTTTAAGAGTTCTCTCTCTAAATAAGTTTGCCACCACGGAGAGAGAGAGAGACAGTGGCCGCGGAAGCTGTGGGACATCTGGGGACGCTAACATTGTAGGATGGGGGAGGGTGGGGTTTATATAACATGGGGAGATAATGGGAACCTCGAACAACCGTGGGGACATTGTTCCTCTGTCCGCGGTCACTGGAGAGAGAGAGAGACAGGCAGAGTTGAAGTTTTTAGCAGTCGTGGTGGTGGGTTTGTTGGCATGTTGATGGTGAATTGGTTTGGCTTGGCTGTGTCTTTATAGGAGTCATTCCGTCATTCCATTTGGACTGGATGTCTGGGGAGTCATTAATTTCCCTTATTTTCCTTTTCCCCCAATAAAAACTCTTTTTATTATCGATTGCTTCTGCTCCTTTTCTTGGTACACACACATTCTTGGAGATTTTCTGAGATGACGACGACGACGATTCGAAATCCTGCGAGATTCAGATCAGAGGCCCACACGGAGAGAGGTAGATGGTTGGAATGGGATCAAATTTTCAGCAGAGAGAGGAGACGACTCATATTGCGCTTGTTTACAACTAGATAACTGGCATTGCATATATGGAAATAATGTGTGTCGTCGATTTTGGGTCGTCTTTTTTGGGATGAAAATCTTGCCAAATTTTGTGCGAGAAGAGAAGAAATCCCTGAATAATCGGAGGAGGGAATGGAAATTCAATTTATTTCAACTCTTTGTGTGCCAAAGTGGGTTAGTAGAAATGGTAATTGTGTATACATGGTCGTACGTGATGTACTTTCACCTGGATGGAATTAAGCGAATTTTTACGGGGACGGATGGCTGCAAAAAAAAATTGCGACTTCTTTTTTTTACGAACTTGTGAAATAATCTATTTCCCATAAATCCAAATTGACTCTCTCTGGTGGAAAAGAAAGCCACTTGTGATGTCCAATTTATCACGAATGAAGTCAGGTCATTTATCGGCTCACAGGATTTGTGGTTTAACCTCTGCTACGTTTTGTGAAAAGTGCGGTGCACAGCAGTGGCCGTGCCAATACTGCGAGTCAGCAGAGGACCAGAAGACCAGAAGAGGACCAACATTTGCCAAAACTTGTGAAAAGAAGAGATACGGAAGAAACGAGTATTGCTTCCCATTGCCCCTAATATTATTCATCTTGTCTCATCTGAATGCATTTGATAGGAGGAAAATTGCACTCTGAAATCCCACTCGGGGAATAATTCTCATCCCTCGGCAGCCACATTTGTGGTTCGAAATGGTTCCTTAACTCGTTGTTGGTCTTTTCCTCGAGTCGTCGTCGTCGTCTAATCCTAATGTTGGTACACATACTTTCTCTTACATGCCCTGCTGCTGGAAATGGTCGCTGGTCCTCTCTCTCTCCGTCTGAATGTTGATGATGGCTGGGTTGGAATATTTCCCTTGTTTATTTACGGTGGGAGGAGGGTAGGCCATTTCGGAGGGGAAAAAACGTGATTTATATTGCAGAAACAACCAACCGTGTAGCGAGGGAGAGAGGGACACAACTGTGCAAAAAATGGAGGGTACAGGGTTTCGGGGGAAAGAATCACTTGCAAGATATAACGGGAAGAAAGTGGTTTCTTGGAGGTATTTTGACCTGCAAGAAATGTAAGTCGCAAGAAACTACGCCCCGCCGCTATAGCTCATACGGAACGTGGCTAGATGGCGCGTATTTCGTGCACTTTCCCCCAGTTTCTTGCACCTCGCATTTCTTGCACCTCGCATTTCTTGCGTTTCTTCCCAAAAATGCAGTGCAAGAAATGTAGCAAACCTGCAAGAAACGAAGCACTGGAACCTCATGCCCAGGCGGATGGGAAATTGTGTCATGTGTTTCATTTCAAGTCGTCTCTATAGATCAGCAACCAACCAACCAACCAACTATATCCATACATAAAGCGAATCTTGATCTTTGTTTTTTTTTCTGAATCGTGTCTGTGTGTAGTTTCTCTTTGGTAGATATCATGTCTTTCTCAGGTTTTGGAGTTGTCGTCTTTTGTCTTTTTGTTGACACAGGCCACAGGCTGAGGTTGTGTGGAATGTTGCGTAGCTTTCGTTCGAGAGCAAAAACCAAATGTTTAACTACTTAGCGAATCCTTGTTGGTTGTGGCATGACATTCAGTTTTGTTGCCTATTGTTTTGCTTTGTTTTGTGTTGTCTCATTCCGTCCTCGTTATTTTCTGTAACGTATGACTCCTGTAGTTAAGCATTGTTTTGGCAGAATTTCTGCCCAACGGATTAATCTTTTAGGGGAAAAAGTCAACACAATTTTCTTCCCAGGAATTTATACAAACGAGATTTGTGGTGTGGCGATGTTTGTGACACGGAGTTCAGAGAACAAAATTCGTAGCAGTGTGAATTTCTAACTTGTTGTCTTCAATTAATTACCACTTTCTCCCAATTTTCCAGGCGGTGAAAGATGTCAATTGCCCGGACGCTGGGAAGGAAACTGGTTCCAGTCCGGAGTTCATCAAACCATTTCAATCAACTCGAGTTTTATCAACATCAAAGGAAAATGTTTGGAGAATGACGGGGACAAATTTTTATTCTACAACGAGTACGTACCATTTGTTTGTTATATACCTGGAACAAAACGGGGTTAAATATTTAATGAAATTTTCCTTTGCAGAAAGGAGAACTGTTATCGCTGCACAGTTTTCCACGAGAAGGATAGAAATATACTGCAATACAAAGAAAGTAAGAGTGGCAGAGAATGAAAGAGAAAGCGTCGCATTTTACCCCAGCAGAAACTAATTACATTTTGTCTTCTTTTTGCAGCGTTTTGCATAAAAGATCGGAGATCATTAAAGAACGTTTGCTCAACTATAACGGGTGATGCTAACCTTTTCTCATTGTTTCGACTGAATGGGCAGCCTATTGAGTGCCCTTTTAAGGGACCATTCACCTTCACGTATAATCGTGGCCAGGGCGATTGTAGCTACCCGGGTAAATACATATTTTTTTGTCGTGCTAAATTTTAAATGGGTATTGATTGTGTTTTTCTATAATTAGTTTCCACCATCGAGTCCTGCATCCAACCTTCCAGGTAAATAAATGAGCATGTTTTGTAGCAATAATACAAACTGGTTACAACAATAGTGGGAACACTTTGTCAAAATTGGCCAATTTGTCTGCAAAACTTTCACTTCTTGCAAAATTTCTCTGAATTTACAATTAGTGTATAATGTGCAGGATTTTATGTAATGTCTAAAAGCTGATATCGGTAGCTTAAATTTCTTAATAAGTAATAATCGAAACTTGTAACAATTCGTAAAACGCCCCGTCGAAAATTGGCCAATTTTTGAGCAAAACTTTGCAAATTCGGCACAATTTCTCCGAATATAAATACAATTAGCGTACAATGCGAAGAATATTTTTCTGCTAGCACCTGCCAAAACTTTGCAGACACTTTCCGTAGAAAATGTGCCAATTTTCGGCAGATCGATTTCCACGCTAAACTCTCACTGCCTAGGTTAACAAATAATTAGCAATTTTATCTCCAACTTTCTCCGAACAGGTGCCTTTCTTGCTGAATCAATATTTAAAACGTGTCCCTCTTTGTTCCCCACCTGCAGTCTTCTCCTTAAATTATAAGTCGTTCTAATACACTTTTTTATCCCCACCCTTCCAGGCAACTCCTCAACTACGAGTCCTGTCCGGACGTTAAGGGAACCGAGTCCACAGGTAATTAAAAATTCATTCTCTCTTATGAACAAGCAAACCCATTCTTTCTACTGAAAAAAGAAGCCTTTTAAATTACTCCCCATCCACTTGGCCAACATTTCCGAGGAAAAAATGAAGCACTCGGCTCTTTTCCTTTTCTGCTCCCCGCGTGAATAATGTTTCATTACATGGCGGAATAAATTGCCGACAAAGAAAGCTTCGTGTTACCTCCTCTTCCACCACGGACATGATGAGAAATGAGAAATCGTTTAATGTCCAAGTTGCAAAAGTTGCAGAATTTTTAAAGTCCCGACTCGCTAAGTACTGTTACTTTCTCGAGAGGAGAAAGTTGAGGCCTCCCTTCGTCCAGCATGGGAACAACTACCCATTTTCATGTAGCAAGTTCCCTGAGAGATTCATTTATCCTATTCCACCTCATTTCACAGGGAAGCCAACTAACTTGATTGGTATTTTGGTTGGTTAGTGGTGGTAATGGTGGTCCTTCAGGAAAGAAGAATTATTGCGTCTCGGTGTCTACTTTTTGTAGAAGTGGAATCTGGAAATCTTCTTGGTTTTCGGGTGATATCTTCTCAAATTAGTTGGTTTGCTCTCTTGCCCACCTTTCTTGCCCATATATTTTAAATCCTCTCGCTTTTCTCTCGCTCAATTCCAAATTATCGGGGACAAAGTGGGAGCAAACTATCGAGAGAGTTTTGGTCTAGTGGTCCTTGAGTCGTTCGTTTGCGATGCTGCGCTTTTCCCCAGATAAAAAACCAATAAGAGAGAATTCAGGTTAATTATATTCTAATCCGAGATATCTTTACGAGCTCTAGTTCCCCAGAATCCCATTCATCCTCTCCTGCTTCATTACCCGCGGTTCTCCTTTCCTGCCCGAGTCCGGCCTCACCTATATTTTTACTACCCGGCAATCCAGTGTCCGCAGAAACGTGGGACAATGTCCCCACGGTTATTAGATGTCCCCATCATCTCCCCATGCTATATAAACCCCTCCCTCCCCTATCCTACAATGTTAACGTCCCCCGATGTCCCCACGCCTTCCGCGGCCATTGCTTGGCACTAACTATCTCTTCCTTCTGCAACCGGTGATTGCGAAATGTTTTTCTCTCTCTTTCGCGGGAAGGAGTTACGTAACCGATAAACTAAACTAACCAACACGGGAAAAAGTTTATCCTTCCTTTTCCGACGGGTCGTACTAATTTCGGAGCGTCTGAAATATTTCAGCCTCCCCCCTCGAGATTTACAACTTGATATACAACTTGCAGAGGAGGAGGAAAAAACTTAAAACCGCCGACCAACTCTCACTTACTCACGCAGTCAGTTGGACAAGTTTTATTTTATGCAGGCAAAAAGTGCATTTCAATTTAAATCTTGACTCCTTCCGGTACGAAAACCAAACCAAACCACGAACAGGAAACTGTTATACGGAGAATATTTTACTATTCTGGTGGTGCCAAGACAGCATTTTCATCCTGGAGGAAAAGATGAAATTGGCAATTCCAAAAGTGCAAATGGGTGATGACTATTCACATTTTGGGAGGTTTCTCCTTCGTCGTCTCTCCAAGTTGGAAAAGCTATCGTGGAAAATGGTGGCACGACGAGAAAAGGAGAGGAAGGAGAAGAGAGAGAGAGAGAAGTAACCTAATCTCATTCCAATCTTTGATTGGAATTTCTACTTTTTGTCACATTCTTCCTTACATTGAGCTGTATGGAATGAAATGTGGTTTGGCTTTTATTGGTTAAGATTGTACAAATTCTTAATTTTATTAACGAGCGGGGAGAGAAGTGAAGCTAAAATAGTTTGTGGGATCGATTTGTCCGTCTGTTAATTTATCTGTCAACATGATAGCTTTCGAAATAATCAATCTTTTACTGGTTATGCTTTCGGATATCGATATCTAATTTTTAAAGTAAGAGAGAGTTCGTTAATTGATCTTATAAGTCGAAAGACCGTTGGGCGATGATGTAAAATGTCGCAAGTGTGTAATATTTTGTTCTGCCGGTTTTAGAAGTTAATCGGGGTGGTATTCCAAAAATCATGATCGTTTCGACGTGCATCGACCTGGTGAGCGTGTGAACAAAATCAAATGTCATAAAATGCCGAAACGTCAAAAATGTCAAATTTTCTTAGCAAATGATGCACCTCAAGTATTCATATCAATGCACTCCACTTCCACGAGTTTATTATATCTGTTGCTTGAGTTTAGTGACACATTGGACAATTCCTAAGATTGAGATTTAAAACATAAGGAGCAAAAAAAATTACGTACCTAATTTTTGTTTGGTAAATTTCCCCAATCACGTCTATTTGCATATCTCAATGTGTGAGCAAAATTTCAAAAAATAGAACCAAAAAATTGGTAGCACAAAATTGATGTTGACAAATGTACTCATCCCGGACTTTAATTAATGCCGGTTAACATAGGTTAAAACCAATTTTAACACATCCGACTTACACATTTTTCATAGATTCTACATACATTTAGACTGCGCTACACGAATATCAATTCTATGCTTCCCGTCACTCCTGACAATGCTCATAAGTCTGCATCCACCTCATAGAAAGCGATGAAATGCAAATGTACGTTTCCAATTTGGACCATTTCATATCTGGGATTTTGCGGGGTTTCTTCTTGGCCGATGAGATATAAAAATGCGGTTGTATTCTTCCTACGGGAATTCTTCACAAAAGAGGAAAGAGCTCTCTCCTGGGAAATTTTGTGCTCTTCCTTCCCTTGAATATTTATGTGAATTTATTTTCCCTTGTTGGATGGAAAAGAAGCCAAGCGCGGCCAGAGAGAAAAATTCTGCGCTCTTTGTTTTACACAAAGACAGGCAGAAGCAGAGGAGCCTTTAAGCCGATTTCTCACAGATGAGGTGGAAGTGAAAAAAAGCACGAGGACATGCTCACCCAAAATGAAACACGATAAAGCCCTAAGCCTTAAAAGCATCAAATCAACTGTCAAGCAGGACTTTCTTTTGTCTGAAGAACAAGCACATACAGATATTTTAGCCAGCAGTATTTGGCACTAAATTGGTCTCTGAACTTTAATTGAAGGATTATGTGCATCTAAAATTGAAAAAATATACTGTAAAAAAAAGTTGACCAACGGTGTGACCTGTACTCGCAATGCTAGAAATCTGGTAGTCACGTATGTCCTGGTATTGATTTGGTAACAACTTTTACCGGATTGGTACTAGTTTGTTTCTTAGGATTAGTAGTAAATTTTTCATTACCACAAAATTACTAAACGGTAATGCCCGTTATATATAACCAGTGCCAGAAGAGTCACAAACTCGGGTCAGTGACACTTTAATACCCGTTCTCTACAAGTGTGGAACTAAACATTTGTATAAATCTCAGTCAATAAAATTCCTTAAAAAAGTCAGAATTGCACTTTTACAACGCATTCATACCGTCAATCAACCCGGCTGCTGGCTGTCACCCACCCACCCACCAGCGCAGCAACTTTCTCTCGAGGCATACATACATCTGTGCTGTTCTAAAAGAAAACTGCATTTTTACCAAAGTTTCGTTTGTCTGTTCCAAGAAAGAAATATTTTTTACATTTCTGTAACACATACATACGTACGAGGACATCACATCACTACTAGAAGTCTATTGACAATGAAAAGTCAGCATGCATATAGTCAGCATATTGTTGTCGTGTCACACAGTAAAAGATTCCCAGAAACTTAGCTTAACGAGGCAACGTTTCTCAAAAAGCCACAGCCAAAAGTTTTCCCTCTTTTTCTTTTCGAGAAGAAAAAAAAACAGAAAAACTTTCCACTTTCCTTTGTTCCGCGGGTGAAGTGAAAAAAAGTAGGGTGTACTGCAGCCAGGAAGCAACATGGAGAGAATAATCTTGCGGTTTGGCTTTCTCCATGTCCAGCACTCACTTTCACTTTGAGAAGAAGTTGTCTCTACGATACGACAGAGATATCACTGCCGTCGTCATCATCACATCCAAAACACTCACAATGTTTCAAAAACTTGGTGAAAACTTTCCCCTCAAAATTTATGATAATCAAATAAGCTGTGCAAGTCTGATCTCGGGGTTGTTCTTTCTTTTCCCCTTCCTTTTTGTCCATTGTACCAATCACACCGATAACTAACCGACGGCATTATTATCCGGATTTGTGAAACATTTTCTAAATTTCTTCCCCTGCAAGATGAAAGCTAACCAAATTTTGGATTACTCAACTCATTATCCGGACACAAATTTCAATTTCCACTCTCGTAAAATTTGTTCACGTGTTCCCGAAACTCCATCGATTGCAGGGCTGCATATCAATCGGAATGCCGTACCACACGGTCACGAATGAATGAATGGGATATGAAGAAGGGATGGGCTGCAAGCAAGCAACTTACTTTCCCGGCCGCAAAGTTTACGTAACTTGGCTAATGCAAACTTGATACTTTCCGTTAAGTTTAGAGACTTGGAGGAACTGCGGAGGAGAAGAATGTTCAACTTCCATATCATCAGATGCAGGAGGAACGTGATCTGAGTTTTAATTTTCAATAAAATTATTTAAGCGAAAGGATTTAACGAAGGGTTTATAAATACGGAATTGCATCCAGAATAAATCTTTGTGGGAAAGTTTCCACGAGATGTTTGAAGTGAAACTTGGGATATTTTGGAATCTAATAGTTTTAAGAGATATTTATATCAAATTTTAAGGGTCAGGATTCAATTGCTCGGGTTTTCCATAATAGTTTTCATGTAAAAAAAGTGTGGCGTTCGCCGAGCCAAGTGGCCGCGGAAGCCGTGGGGACATCGGGGGACATTAACATTGTAGGATAGGAGGAGGCAGGGGTTTTTATATAACATTGGCACAAGAAGGGGACATTGAATAACCTTGGGGACATTGTCCCACGCTTCCTTGCGCGGCCACTGGGCCGATCCAAGGGATAACAATAAAAATAAACAACTTACTCCTGATAACCTTTTAGAATTTTTAAGGGCATACTTTTTTCATCCGTATATTTGTTTTTATTATTAATGCGTTGTTTTGTTGAATGGGACAGGAACAAGAGTTCGTTAATCTAACCAATTATATAAATTGATAAACTAAAGAAATACAATTTTGGCGTATAACTAATCCAATTTAACCAAAATATATTAAAATTTCCATAATTTTCTCCCTTGCAGTTGAAGAGTTGACGTGTCTGGGTACCTGGAAAGAGGGCAGTTCTCGCTATCTCTTAGGGCTTATTCGCTACCAGCATCACGCCTCGTACGAAGAGCGTTTCAGGTACAAATAATCTAAAAAATAATCAACATTTGTTAACAAGCTTTAATAAATAATTACTTTTTTTGTCAGGTGCTTTGTATACGAGAAGAGCAAAAAAGGTGGGATTTTCTCCTCCCCCACGATCCAAGTTGTTCAGGGCAGTTTGAGCAATAGTTCCGCCGCAGCGGCACTGACCTCATCGACCCGCGTGGCACCTCAAGGTCAAGGATCCGGTGGGTCGTCGGACATCCTGTTTCGCGTGGCGCAGAGTGGCGATGCAACTTGCAACGGTCTCACTCCAATGGACGGATCGAGAACATTGATTCTCAAGAAGGGTGAGTGAAGGATTCGAGTAACTAGAAAGTTAAGGAACCATAGATAAGCAGTCTCCAGTGGCCGCGGAAGCGTGGGGACAAAGGGACAATGTTTTGATGTCCCCATCATTTGCCCATGTTATACAAACCCCTCCCTCCCCCTATCCTACAATATTAATGTCCCCCGATGTCCCCACAGCTTCCGCGGCCACTGTCAATCTTTTCTTCTCCTGCACAAAACCCAATTCAACTTTGTGCAAGTGTTTTTATCTCCTGGTTGAAGTTGGTTTGGGAGGAATTAGGAAAATGCTGGCTGTATCAGCATGAATGGTTATGTGGTCATGTAGCATGAAGGAGGGAGGGAGCAGGTACGTAGCAAATAGTGCACTTTTCGAGTAAAAGAAACCAACTTGTCAGCAATCGAGGAAGAAGAAAGTGAAAGTCCGCCAGCAGCTCAAGTCCGGTTGGTTGGATCAGTTTTTTTATCTCGGGTTCACTCCAGAGTCTCCAGAGCCTGGAAAACATAACCCAGAAAATCCTCCTCTCGTGGTTTCCCAGTTTACTGATCTCTCCAACGAGCAACGCGGCGGTGGCGGCTTATCAAAAATTTACACAGCGAGTTTTCTTATTTCTGACTGCACGTACGCACCGCTAAGCTCATTGCTACGCACGTTTTGAGAGGAATAAATCGTACTTGTTTCAGCCCCACCACTGCCCAAGTGTCAGTTCCCCTCGTGGGTGCAAGTTCACCAGTGGCACACCCTCGACCAGAGATCAACCTTCAACTTCGACTCGAGTGTGCTCAAAGTGAGCAACTCGTCGGACGCGGCGGGGATGGGGCCTTCCACACTGACCATGACCGCAGTCTGTCATCACATTACGGATAACCCCACGCTGGACAGGGTCGTCCTCGCGTTGCATGTCACGTCCGAGTGGTAAGTTATGTATGCTTTCATTGTCAAGAGGAGAAACAAAGTTGCAAACTAGATAGGCCAGTAAATCAAAAGTAAGCATTTACCTATGTAAACTTTGGCTCTGAATGATGAAAAACCTTGAATTTTTTCGGTTATGGCAGGATATTTCCAGAATGCCTCAACACAATCAAACGCCATTTTCGTAATTGTGCTTCTAATTTTTAGTCGTCGGTCGAGTTCGATATTTGGGTCAATCGGACCACTCCCCACAACGCTAGGGGTGTGGCCCAAATTAAACTTGACCTTAATTTTCACATGGGTGTCATTTTAAAGGAAATTTGACCACGAAGTCAACCCCGTTAATATTTTTGACCTCCGACAAACCCATGGCCGTAAGGACGAGATCAAATGTCATAAATCACATAATTTTCGTGTATCATTCATTTTACATTTTACATTTTACTGTATAACGCCACTTCTTTACGTTCTTATGACACGGTTTATTCTACATACTTTCTTTAATAATAAAGTTGCTCTCATGTCGTCATGTATGTATGTACAAGAGTAAATCATACAACAGCTTTTCACCCCTTCCTTCACCTCTGACTGACGGCACACACAACTCTTTGGCACCAACCAACGACTAGACGACACAATCGTAAACATAGACTTCCACCATATTCACACACCCACCACAATGCTCGTCGTGATCATGAATGAGTGCGACTATTTGTTAATAAAATGAGATGACACGAACCTCCCACAACACGTGGAATTCATTCAGCATTTATTCCATCCAGCCAACGAGGGTGAGGAGAAGAAGAAATGGCCATGAATAAATAAAAGTGTTGCGTCGTCGTTTACTGCACCGAATTTACCAACCAACACGTAGCACACACATTCAGAATACGGTTTATTCACCACTTGTCCTTGTCGACACGGAGGAATAAGTCCCATTCAAATCGCATCACTGCAACCCTCCCACTCATTCAAAAACATATGCATATCTCCGCTACTAGATATGCCGTTTGAAAATTTGAAACATTAAATTTTAAATGGACCTCGTTCACTGGGAATGTTTCGCCAAATGGAATTATGCATGGCCTCGACAGAGTGCTTGTTGTGTAACACGACAAGCAAACACGGAGGTAAAAGAAAGAGAGAAAGTACATAAAATGTTCATTGAATCACCATTCCATTATTATTATTACAATGAAATATTATAGAAATACAGTGCAGGAAACATTATATCATGAGTAAAACTGCGCTATTATTACGAAGAAATGTGAAAATTTTCAAATTCAACTGGGACAAGTTGACGTACAAATAAAAAATGGAACCAAATTTAAATTCAGGAGATGCATATCACACCTTTTCACCAGCGAAGAAAGCAATAAATATTAATCATAATTTACATCTCGAGTCACGCCAACAGCAATTTGGTTGTGACAAAGTACTCCCTTCGTCGCCGACTTACTTAATAATACGACGCGAGCAGTTTGATGCAGTTCGCTTGGTGAATGAATTCCGTGGGCTGGGCAGCAGAACTTTATCTGGTTTGCGAAACAGTGGCCGCGGAAGCTGTGGGGACATTAGCATTGTGGGATAGGGGAGGGGAGAGGTTTGTATAACATGGGGAGATGCGGGGGACATCGAATAACCGTGGGACATTGTTCCTCTGTCCCGCAGCCACTGGGCCGATCCAAGGGATAACAATCAAAATAAACAAATTACTCCTGATAACCTTTGAGAATTTTTAAGGGCATACTTTTTTCATATTTATATTCCTTTTATTATTAATAATGCGCTATTTTGTTGAATACATGGACCAAGACCAGGAGTTATCTAACCAATTTTATAAATTATTAAGGTACCAGAAGAAGAACTTCCTCTAGAAACTAAAGAAATAATAATTTTGGCGTACAACTCAATCATTTTCACGTGGGATAGGGGAGGGAGGGGTTTATATAATATGGGGAGAGGGTGGGACATCGAATAACCGTGGGGATATTGTCGCCCTGTCCCCACACTTCCTTGCGCGGCCCCTGACTGCGAATATATACATAGTGACGTGTATTTAGTTCAGTGGAACATGCTCATTAATTTATGACATGTCATCCCACACTTTCTCTCCATCCAGAGACTAGCAATTACAACTTTATGCGAGTAAAAGTATACGTCCCTACATGAATTGGGAAGAAGCCGTGTCACGAAGTGGTCAATAATTTAGTGAATAATTGGACTAGCGGAAATTTGTACCAGGAAAGTTTGCGACTTTGTTTCTGTTTCAATAATTTACGATTAATATACTAATGCACGTACTAATTTGACGGGGTAATCATATCGCAACTGAATAATTAATGAGTATGTTGCGTTGCTTATCCAATTTGCAGCCAGAGTGGATACATGTGCACCGCGATTTACAGACGTGATGGTCACATCGTGGAAATGCAGATGGGTGAGTTTTGGTTTTAGTCTTGTGATTAACGCGTAATAAGTTACGGATCGATGGCAAAGTGGACGATTTGCAAACACAAGTCAGCAGATGAAGGACTCCTACAGAATATCTCTTCCCGTTCAAAGCGTATAATTTGACAAATCAAAGCTCGCCGTAATAATGAGATTTTCTTTGAACTGTGTAATCGATCAAGAGATGAGAGAAATGTGATGAAAACGATCCAAAAACCACAAAGGAAATAGTTTGGATTAGTTTCATTAGTGGGAAAAGACGTATTTTGGAAGTTGCGATAATTATGTAACAAGAGGTACAAAAACTGTGCAATTAATTATTTGTACAATTATAATTAGTTCAATTGTGTTTATTTAAGTTAAGATAATCAGATTATTTGTCCAACTGTAAAAACGATCTCCTAATTTAAAAGCACGCTTCGAAATGTACAGTTTTAAAAAATAACAAGTTAGCATTATTATCACGTTTTTTTTCGGAAACAAATCAGTGACCTAGAAATTTTAAGTAGGTTAAACTTTATCCAAATCTCGTCTAGACCAGGTAAATATGTAGCTCGCACAAGTGTGCAGCAGGAATAGTGACCCCACATGCAGACCCACATTTTCTCCAGAATTCCACTGCAATTTACGTCACAATCGAATGACACTGGGAAGTGGGTACAGTCGTCCAACTGCGTATGTAGGAGACCCACACCAGCAGGTGTTCCGTCCATCGAGGCGTTGCATAATTAATTTTTAATTACACATTCCCTCTCCGATTCTCATTTCAGGGAGTATCGCCCGTCGTCCTGACGATGCTTGTCACATCTCCTCCTTCAACCATGGCCAGCTGCCTTATGTCACCCTCGTCTGTAAGTACCACTTATTTTCTCCGCATTTATTCTCCCTCCCTCCCTGGGTACCCTTTTATCGACCAGCGTCCTCAGTATGTAGAGCACACCGTTCTTCCAAATCATCATTATTTCCCAACTTCAAACAAGGTCGACATCTATGTCTTACTTCTGCTCGGCTGGCTAATAATAAGTCCTCGCAGTGTGTACATATTGCAATTGTTCTGCCCTTGTATTAGTTAATGCAAGCATAAAGAACGAGTACGAACACGGTTGATGGGTCCAATCAAACCTTGGATTTTTTTTCCTTTGCTCCCTCTTCCTCGTTACTTTCTTTATTGGGGTGAAAGTGTTAGTGAATCGTGGGTTCGTTATTTGAACCACCCACACTAAACAATGGAGTAGCTCCTGTTATGTATGTATGCTAGGCAGGGTTTGGTTTCTTGCGGGTTTGCTGCATTTCTTGCAGTGCAAGGCAAGAAATACAAGAAATGTGAGGTGCAAGAAACTGGGAGAAAGTGCAAGAAATATGCACCATCTAGCCACGCGCCGTATGAAGTACAGTGTCGGGCGTAGTTTATTGCGCCTTGCATTTCTTGCAGGTCAAAATACCTGCAAAAATACTTTCTTCCCGTTATTTCTTGCAAGTGGTTACTTTCACCTAGTGTTTGATTTCTTGCGGGTTTGCTACATTTCTTGCACTGGGAAGCAAGAAAGTGGTCAAAATAGGCGCCATTTAGCCGCCCACCGTATTAACTATTTCCAGCGGCGAGTCGCAGTTTCTTGTGCCTTGCATTTCTTGCAAGTCAAAATATATAGCTGCAAGAAACCACTTTCTCTCCGTTGTTTCTTGCAAGTGGTTACTTACTTGCCCCCGAAACACTGATGCTCTCCTCGTACGTACATGGTTGTTGTTTCCTCTACGGGAAAATTATGTGGGGATGTGAGACGGAAAATGGAAGAACAAACTGGAGCAAATAACTACGTATAGAATTACTTTCACCTTTTCACATCCTATTCAAAAATCTAGTCCAGTTCTTTTCCTCTCCTTTTCTTCCCTAGTCTGTCGGGGTTTAGAGGATATGAAGTGATTTGTGCACTCACATTATTTCTAACTACCACTGCTTGCCCCTACTTTATTTCGTTCCGTTTCGTAAACCCATAACTTTCACTCAGTTGCATTCTTCTTCTTCTTCGTCTGTTGTTACTATAAAAAGTTTTGTGGTGGGAGTGAAGTGAGTTCAAATTTTTGGAGGGATTCCATTATTTCTATAAAAAATTTAGCAAATCGACCCTGTGAGATGGATTGGATTTCTCTTATCAATTATAAAAATTTTATATGGGAAAAGTTTTTGAGCAGGCGGAATCTTATCGATTATTGTCTCAACCAACTTTCACTCCATCACTTGCTCTTCTTCTTGTCGTATTTTATTTTTGTCGTGCCCAATATAAACAAGTTGTCTCGAATTCCCACACGAAAAAAAACTTTCACATCTTGTTGATCTGGTTTCTCATTTTAGATTATACCACCATTCCATCCTTTCTTTTCCCACTTGTTCTTCCGTTATTTCCAAACTTTTCATTGTGAGTAAATCCAATCCGAAAAGCAGTTTTTTTTCTTCTTCTTCCTGAGAAGAAATAGAACCCGGTGAAACTGCTGCCTGGAGAGAAGAAGTTGTATCGTCGTAAAGCATGGGGGCAGTGAGTGAGCGGATTTCTAGAGGAATTTAGTCTACTTAATCTTAACGTTATGTCCACTTTCGACCTGGTTATAGTCCAGGCCAGGCAGGGTGTGGGTAGACTAGGAGGGAAAAGTTGGGGGTGCACAGTGGCCGCGGAAGCGTAGAGAAAATGTCCCCACGGTTATTCGATGTCCCCCTCATCCCCCCCATGTTATACAAACCCCTCCCTCCCCTATCCCCCAATGTTAATGTCCCCCCGGCTTCCGCGGCGCCTGGGTGTACACCGAAGTTAAAGTTTACTACTGTAGCGAAAAGCATCTCCTCTCCTTCCTTCTTTCTGTTCTGTTTGTTCCATTCCGGGAGCATTTATTTTGCACATAATGACATCATAGTCATTGCCATTTGAGTTCCGCTAGATTCAACATTTGCTCTGGAGCATTGTACGAACGAGATGAGGAGGGAGCAATAAATGTCCTCTTGTGCATTGACCTAATGCACAATGCCCCATCACATGCAGCCCCTACTTTTACTTGAACAACAAAGACTAGCTTTCTCTACCTACTTTCTCCTCCCGGTGGAGAAAGCCGAGCAGGAAAATTAGTGGCTCCCTTGTCTCACTTTTTTCAACCTACCCTAAAATTTAAAAAGTCGTGGATGGACGGACGGACGACTGACCGACAAAGTTTTTTTCCTTTCACTTTCCCCACCAGAGCGGAATGAAAATGAAAAAATCCTTTGAATTTGTGACGCTAAAAGAGTACTTTTTTCTATCCACACAGCAAGCACACCGGAAACAAGGCAATGTCCGAATTTGGGACAATTCGCTGTCACGGGGTTGGTCCGAGACGGGCGGGAGGTGAAGGATCAGTGCGGGTCGGAGGGCTTCACCACGTTGCGAATCGGCTGCTCTACTTTGGACACGTTGCAGTTCAGGTCGGGATGTTCGAACGCGGATGTCATTGCGGGTATATTTATTTTCGCTCGTTATACATTTTGCACGAAAGCCTCAAGCCAAACGGGCCAAAGTGAAAGTGAAGGCCGACAGAATTTTGGTGAAAGTGTGAAAATCAGTGAGAGAGAAAGTCAGGCTGTGAGGTAAATGCATTTTGATTCTGCTCCCGGAACATTTTATTCGCAAAGTAGTGCGAATTCCGGGAAATTGGGACACACACCCAGCAAAAGCAGGACACATAAAGAGGGAGACACGCGATATAATAAATATTCCATCGTGGTCTCCTCCTCCTCTTCTCGCAACAAGGATGACTCTCCATTAAGCCGGGCTGATTGTATCGCTCGGATATGGGGCTAGTTTATTCATTAGATTAGATTCTGATAGCGTAACCCAGCCCCAATAATTATTGTGGTAACTAACCATGTACCACTTTTCTGATGCGATAGATATTTTTAAATTAGATTAGTTCCAATGGGTAGTTGGTAATTAGGGGGCGAATTATGAACCAATTAAGGATTGGGGCACTGATACAAATCCGGTAGAGTCATATACGTACTCCGGTACTGGTATTGATTTGGTAGTAATTTCATACCGGATTGGTAGTAGTTTATTTCTGAGTGGTAAACATTTCATTACTACAAGATTATTAAACGGTAATTCCCGTTATTACCAGTGTCGGTAGAGTCGCATATAGAATAGTCCGTACTGGTATTGATTTGGTAATAACTTCTTACCGGATTGGTAGTATTTTGTTGGTAAGTGGTAAATTTTTCATTACCATACCATTATTCAACGGTAACGCCCGTTATTACCAGTGCCGGTAGAATCATTTAGTCAGGAATGATTTAATACCAGTTTTCTAAGAATGTATTTACTTCTTTTGTCCGACAAACAGGTCTGTTTCGTGCCGAGTATGCCTGTCACGGGTGGTGGGAGGAGATGGGGGTGAGCTACCTGATAACGACGCCACTCTCCCGCGCCTCCACGGGGGCCCGGCGCTACTGCTTCGTCTTCCGCGAAACGTTAGAGCCGCAGCAGAACAGGCTCACGTTAACGAAGCCTCGAACCTCTGGGGGTGGTGATGATCCGTCCTCTGGTGGTGGTGGTGGCAGCGATGGTGAAGATTCTGCCCCAGAATTCAAAAGGATTCTCCACTTTTCGAGCATTGCAGACTCCTGCAGACGCAACGTAGCCCCTGGGATTGAGGGCGCGCTGGCTTTCAACGTTACAAGTCATGGTGAGTAAGTTGGAGCAGGGACGACTTGCATAAGAGGACTTTCCCTTATTACTCTGTGTGCTTTCAAAACTTTCACTCGGTACTAAAGCGAGCTGTTGAAATACTAACAATGGAGGTGGCCCAGCGTATGCTCACCGATTTAGATTTTGGACCAAATTAGTGTCAATGGACGTCAAATTTAGCTGATATGAAATTTGGAAAAGGAACTATTTGCCAATACTCACGATTGGCAGAGATATTTGCATCGGAAGAGGAGAAAACGCACACAAAAATTGACAAGTTTTACACTTTCTTCAATCAAGGCACGATCTTCCAATGCTCAGTTTTGATGGAGACATTCGCAGTCAAAGAGAAGACGCTCCTAAAAATTGACAAATTTTACACTTTCCAAATTTACTGCGCGCTTTCTCCTCTTCGGACGCAAATATCTCCGCCAAACGTGACCATTGGCAGATTGTGCTTTTGGCAAATTTCACATTAATTAAATTTGTGATCGATCGCCACTAATTTCGTCAAAATCTGATCGCATACGCTGGGAGACCTCCATTTTAAGTTGAAGAGGTTTCTGTAAAATAAATGAAACTCTTTTGGCAAGCTTGCCCACCTCCACGAGAGAATGTTGCAGTCAGTTGTGTGTGGTGATGGTGGCGAGTGGATTAATTTGCTAACTGGATGGGGGAAAGTTTACCATTCATGATGATAGCACCGCGTTACATGGTAGTTGAGCTGAACAAGTTTAAATACATGGCAGGAGAACCACCATGTCTCGAATTTGGATCAGTAGTGTGGCAATGTCCCACACTGAGTAGGATGCAATTTACAAAGGAAATTCGACTAGATTCCGTAGTTAGTTTGCCCAGGAAGGAGTTCTTTTGTCAATTTTGAATTCAACAAAGTAACCCTTTCGCTCTCCACCATGAGCTCTAATTTCGTCCCTAATTAACCCATAAAGTTTGTATCATTGTATTGTATATCGCTTTCTAAATTCTTGGCCAACTATTGTACGTCCCAACCAAGTTTCCGATTACTGAGCCAAATTCGTCCATCCAATCCTGCCTGCGTAACACTGCCACTTAAAACTTTAGTCAGTGGCCACGGAAGCGTGGGGACAAGGGGACAATCGGTTATTCGATGTCCCCATCATCTCCCCATCTTATATAAACCCCTACAATGTTAATGTCCCCCAATGTCCCACAGCTTCCGCGGCCACTGGGTATATACGAATTAGTAGCTCGAGCTCTGCCGGTCGTGTGGAATGCAAAGTTGTTATTATTAACCATGGGCTCGTTTGTTTCTAATTTTCAGGGAGATGTGAAGATATCAGCTCGGCCATTAGTGGTCTATCATATCCGCATCCCTGCTGCGTCCTCTTCCTCTCCTTTGTTTCCCTCCTCCTTTCTTCCTATCTCAACTTGTCATCACATCAAAACACCCAATCAACCAAGTTCCCAACAAGGAGTTAAGTCAACAAAGTATTTACTTACAGTGTAAACCAAGAAGACAAAGACCAACAACAAGAACAAGACGACTAACTTGATAAGTTTGGTTTGTTGTTTGGGGGAGAAGTAATCATGTCCTGATCAATTGTTCTTCAAAATGTTCTTAACCACGAGATTTGGAAGGAACTTATGCTCCACTTCACACATTTACGTAATCTGAATTTGTATTTTAGGTAATTAGATACATGTTTTATGTACTTATTTCTTATCAATCGTCACCGTCGTCGTCTTCCCTTCTGTCTGTCTTACAGTCTTACCCCCTAAAAAATGCTCCTTCTTAACCCAACCACCAGCTTTAATTTTTTCACCATCTCTGTGATAATGTCAACAAACTGTGATGTTTACTTATTATTTGTGTAAGTGCACATGTATGTAATTACCGTACGTGTCTAGTGAGTAGACTTGTAAGTACCCCTGTCATCCTGTTTAAAAAAAAACAGCGAGGAGGAGGAAAAACTGAATGTGCTCCAACTTGTTTAATAGCAAAAATGCGGTAGTGTTAATATTAACACGGCTGCCACCACATCAAATCAAATCAAACCACTAAATGCATGCATAAATATGTACTTTCGATGATGACGAGGGAAACTTTGTCCACGAAAAAAAATCATAACACAGTAAGAAAAAACAGATTCGAATTTAACTAATAAATAATTGGATCATTAATAAATAAATAAATAAGAATCAGGGGAAAGAGTCGGCTCGGAAAAGTAATTAAAAAAGATATGCAGAGAGGCAATCAATAATCTATGGTATAGATTCCATACTATAATTACATACACAATTAATTTAAATAGATACATAAATATGTACGAGGACTTATGTATGGAATCTTAGGAAAGTATGGAATAAATTTCCGTAAACATATCCAAACGGTTTTTTAGGGTGGGAGAGAAAGTACGAATATTTAGTAATTTACAAATAACGTATGTATGAATGTTATTAATGTGATAAGGAGAAAGTTTTAAGTTTTTAATAAAATAATTTAGACACTAGCAAGAGAACAAAGTAGAAGGGAGGATTTGCAACTTTGGTAAATATTATTATTAGAATTTATGTCTATCTATCTAATAAGAAGTAAGTGAGGGGAAGAGAAAGTTTGGTGGATAAATACATGGTATTTATTAATATTGTGTCCTTCTTGCTTTATTAACAATTAGGTTACATTGTGTATGCAGTAATAATACGCGGATGTATTTATCATTATGTCCGAATTTGTGTAAGCCGAACAAGATTTTAATAAAGTGAAAGTTATGAAAATGATGGACATGTAAGGGAAATTTTACTTTCACCCAACTTCTTGCTCCCCTCGGCCGAATTTAATTCCTTCCCCTCCGCCTCCTCCCCTTTGTTGCAACTTACCCCTCAATTCAACTTATAATAAACTTGTCGACATCAATCATTCATTGCTTGATGCGGTAATCGGAGCACGTCATCCTCCACCCAGCAGAAACTGTATCCAGTATCAATCAATATCATATAAATAATCATCTCGCCTCATGCCGCAGCAGCAGCAGGAGGAGGAAAATCGTGTAGTGCGGTCTCAAACCAAACATTGTTCGATATCCGACCTTTACTTCAGTGGCCGCGGAAGCGTGGGTGGGGACGGAGGGACAATGTCCCCACGGTTGTTCGATGTCCCCATCATCTCCCCATGTTATGCAAACCCCTCTCTCCCCTATCCTACAATGTTAACGTCCCTACAGCTTCCGCGGCGGCCACTGCTTTCCTGAAATAATAATGAAATGAAATATGTGCCACGCTTCCGTGTATGTGTTCTATCTCAGTTACACAAGATTAACTGGAGAAAAGATTTATCCCCACGAGTTGGTTTCCTCCTAAAACGGGTCGGTGGATGGAGGAGGAGGAGGATGAACCTCTAAACCAACATTGATCTTTGAGCCGTCGTATCTCCTCTTTGTCCTCCACTATTTGTACTTGTATTTGCACAAGTTGTTGTGTGTGTTTGTTGTATGGACCGGAATCCTGGGGAACAAACTCTTTGTGCATGTATCTCACTGGTTGGTGGGTATGATGGCAAGAGCTGATTTCAGAGTGTACACTAGAAGCCAATCCCATACCCGAATTGGTATTCCGGATAACTTCCTGTCCTGGGGAGTGTCATCATTTTATCGGATCTGGATATGTCAGTATTAGAGAAATAGAGAGGCTAAATTTTGGGTTGTTGGGAGCGAATAATATCGAAGGTGGAGTCGATATTATTTGGGAAAACGGGACTTAACTCTTCCTCCGAGATTGGGAAAGCTATCTGGCTTGGTTTGACTTTCTCTCCGTGATTTTGTATGTACTAGGTCGGATCGGATCAGTGGTTTGGTTTGGTGGAGAAGCAGGACTTTGATTATTGTGTAAAGTCACCAACCACGCACGGCACGAGTCGCGAGCGAGTTTACCCTTAAACCTCAAATTATTTTCTCTCCATTGGACGACAAGTGATCAACTTGTGCTTTCATGGCTGCTTTTCCGTGAGGGAAGGTTGGTTGGTGGGTGATTGTTGGGTTCTGACAATCTCGTCGAGTATCGCATTACTTATCTATCTGTGGGTAACTCTGCGTCTTCTTGGTTGGAGTGAGTGTCTATCTATCTGTAGCCAAAAACATTAAACATGGGGACACCCCAAGGCTCTTGAGACTAATTTTCCTGATGGCTTTCCTCCTTCCTCCTCCTTCTTCTTCTCATCTTTTGGTCCCGTTCCCACAACAGAGACTTCCAACAAAAATGTGAAACGAGGAATGAAATTGGGCAAGAAAAGAAGACCCAGAAAAGTTCGACCCTGTGGAAAATAAGTTCATCCGCATCACCACCAAACCAGCAACCAGCGTTACGGAGACGATGAGAAAGTACTTTTTACTTTTCGCAATGGCCGTCAAGTTTCCTTTTTTGGGAAATAACGGCACACGCGAGTTGTTCGGCACGTCACAATGGCTGATCTATAATCTTGCAAAGAGGGTTTCGTTTCTTGTGGGTTTGCTACATTTCTTGCAGTGGAAAACAAGAAACGCAAGAAATGGGGGGTGCAAGAAACTGGGAGAAAGTGCAAGAAATATGCGCTATTTAGCCCCCCGGATGAACTATAAATGGCGGCTGGGCGAAGTTTCTTGTACCTTTCTTGCATTTCTTTCATGTCAAAAGTAGCTGCAAAATACCACTTTCTCCCCGTTATTTCTTACAAATGTCTACTTTCACCCGAAACACTGTTCTCAAAATCATACTCCCAGCTACAGCAATTTTTAAAATTCTCAAGCAAAAAGGTAAATAGCGTGACTAGTTACGATTCCGCATTGCAATTGTGTACATGTCCCGTTTTTAAAAGTAATTGAATATTCGTCAAGTAAAATTTGCACATTAGTGCACAAGCTCAATTTCAAAGTTGAAGCAAATCACTTCTTCTCCTTAATGAACAAAAGCTCTAAACGAGCCAGCTTAGAATTATTTGTTTTCCGACTCGACGCTGCTGAAGACAATGCGGAGCCAGCCAAACCACAATACACAATGCACACTAACGGATTGCAAAACCAATTTGTTTCACTGAAAAATAAACGACCAGACCAACATGGGAAAAAGAAAGTCTCTCACACACAACAACTTTCTCAGACTTTCTCCCAAAACTTTTAATTAAAAGGCGTGATTAAAATGGTTGAATTAGAAATAATTAAAAGACGAAAAAGCAGGAATGCATGCAAACAGTTGCTGCCCGCCTACATCGTTTCAGTTAATACTGAATGAGGCGGAGGCAGAAAAATTTAAATATTTAAACTAATCTGCGTCGCAGAAGCATTTCAATTTTTGTTCGAACGCTCTTTTTCTTTTGACTTTTCTTTTTTCCCCGAGAAATCGTACATCTAACGCGGGATAAGAATCTATCTCGTTAAAATAAAGTGTACGTATGTATGTACAGTAATTATTGGATCGAAAATATTTGTTCGTTCGTATGTACTAAAGAATTTAGAAACAAACTTTTCCTAACTACTTACGTACGAAGGAGGAGGAGTAAGTACTTTACTGCTATTTACTCAGTTGCTTGTTACTACTTCATAGGCAACTTTTGGGCTAATAAAGGTACCTTAACTTTAGAAATTAGCACATACATACAACCCCTGTCGGATGTAACTTTCAATTTGAGCGTGTTAATGGTGATCCCCCACTAAGATACCGACCAGTACTCTTGTTTGTTTGCTCTCCTGCTCCTCCAACTTTTCCTCCAAAGCAGATCTTTAAATTAGATACTAATTTCTCGTCCCGATTAACTGAGTGCACCGCTGTTTTCTCCTCTGCTGCCCACTTTTTTCTTCGTGGGAGTGAAAGTATGTAGGAATGTGTGTAACGAGCAGTTCACACTTTTCCGTAAAGTACTTACATCCTACTCGGCTCGTAATTGGGGGCAAATGGTGAATTATTTCCTGTTTTTGGGCACCAATTTTTCTAATGTGCTCTATTAAACGGAGTGTTTCGTTTCTTGCGGGGTTGCTACATTTCTTGCAGTGCAAAGGAAGAAACTTAAGAAATGCGAGGTGCAAGAAACTGGGAGAAAGTGCAAGAAATTTGCGCCATCTAGCCACGCGCCGTATGAAGTTTAGCGGCGGGACGTAGTTTCTTGCGCCTTGCATTTCTTGCAGGTCAAAATAGCTGCAAGAAACCACTTTCTTCCCGTTATTTCTTGCAGGTGGTTACTTGCACCCGAAACACTGATTAGACCCACCTATCCAAATATACATACATACATAAACTTACTTTCACCCAAGCAGGAAAAGATAAGTTATGAATCGCTTGGAAAGTTCGTCCCGTTCTTGTACAAAGCAGCCCACCGAGATTTATTACGATGCAGGGAGAAACGATGATTTCTAAATTATTCCATCAAGAAGTGATCTCATACAATACATTCTGTAATTGCGTGGCGGCCACCACACGGCACTTTCTCATCCTGTCGACTCTGCACACATTCACTTTCTCCACTTTGTGCTCTACGTTGTAAGTTATCTCCATCAACCACACCGCGTCTGAGAAAACAGCTGGGAAAGATATGTGGCCGTGGCTGCATGGATGGCAGGCTGGTCGTGATAATAAGTGGGAGGAGGAGGAGGAGTGGAATGTTTAAAATAGATGGCCCAACTTATTGCGAGAGATAGTAAATCCGCCAAAATTTTAGCAAACTGCTTTCTTCTTTTCTTGGCAACAATACGATGCAGGCAACCACGTCCTGTCATCGCACCACTTTTCCTCCTCCGAGAAGAAGAAGAAGATACAAACTGTTTTCTTGAATAAGCATTGCATCGCATTCGAAGACAGCGCTTTGTTCGTGTCGTCGTCGTTTCCCTGCTTGGTTGGGTACTGGTTGGAGGAAGGGTTGCGTCCTTGTTGGTCGTGGTGGTCGTGGTGGAATGCAAGGGGAATGTATAAAAAGGACCACGACGGCGGATGCTGAGAACATCCTTCTAGATTTAATGATTAATAAATCACTTTCTCAACGACGGATAAGACACAACCCGCGCTCAACATGTTTTCTCCTCTTTTTCTTTTTGAGTTATATTTTCACCAACAAAGTCTGATGGCCTTCTTCTTCTCCCACTTATTATGGATCCACACTCATCCTCCTGATCTACTTCTCTCTCTCTCTGAGAGCACAAAACATGCCAAGATGGGAGTTAGCGGTGCTTTCTTTTTTGTTTCCTTCTTCTGCCCACTCCGCCGAGGAAGAGAGGGAGAAAGAAAGAAGTGTCAGTTTAATCTTGTACTTGGACCATCTAAAAACTAAATTTTGTTTTAGCATTATGATACAAAACTTGGTCTGGTCGTGTCCTCGGCCTCCTCCTCCTCCCGTCACTACCAGGAGATTCTAAACTGCCAGACCATGGAAATTTCGCCTCCTCGAATAAACTACTTACGTATTTACTTACCCGGGTACCTTGTGGGTTGCTTAAAGCCATAAAAATGATGATGGGGGTTGTTGTTCTGCTTGTTCTTGGCCAGCCGGCTTGCTTCTTGGAGCAATATTGCAGTTTGACCCGAGGTGTCCAATACTGCATATTTATCTTCTTTATTCCCCCGCATTTAGTGAGACGGACGCTTAATCGAAACGTCTGGGAGGAAAATATCTATTAACAAGGTTCATACTTATCTCGATCCGAGTGTGTACATATCTATTTCGGGCTGATAAATCATGTTGCAACTTCTTGGGAGGAGGAGAAAGTATCCACTTCTTGCTGAGTGGGTGTTCTGCATTCGTAAATTAAGGGGAGAAAGCGAGTAT